ATGTATGTATGTGAGCACGAAGTATGTATGTGTGCACGAAGTATGTATGTATGTATGTGAGCACGAAGTATGTATGTGTGCACGAAGTATGTATGTATGTATGTGAGCACGAAGCATTTGTGTGTCTATGTTAGCAAGAGTTCTGTGTCTGTGTTAGCTGCTGTCCCCACGACAGGCCTTCTGATGCTTGACCAGCCTCTCTGGCAGAATGGTTCAAAGACACATGTGTCTGTATTAGTAAAAAGGGCTTGTGTTTGTGAGTGCTTGTGTTAGTTATAAGCATTTGTTTGTCTATGTTAGCAAGAGTTGTATGTCTGTGTTAGCAAGAGTTGTATGTCTGTGTTAGCTGCTGTCTCCTCGGCAGGCCTTCTGATGCTTGACCAGCCTCTCAGGCAGGAAGGTTCAAGTAGCCTAGTAGCCTACACATGTGTCTCTGTTAGTAAGAACTGCAAATTTATGCGAGTTTTTGGGTTAGCAAGAAGTATTTGTTTGTCTGTGTTAGCAAGAGTTGTGTGTCTATGTTAGCTGCTGTCTCCTCGACAGGCCTTCTGATGCTTGACCAGCCTCTCAGGCAGGAAGGTTCTAGGACACGTGGGGCACTTGACGAGCGTGTCCAGGTGAGACTGCCAGGCTGCCTCCTCCATCGCTGCTCTGTCCACCTTCCCTGTGTCTGATGGATAAATTTATTTTACCTCGTTTAAAAAACAACAATAAGCAAAAATTTATAATTTATTCATTCACAAATTCATTCAAAGCATAACTTATTATTATATCACGACATATATAAGTTATTATTTTATATCACGACGCGAAACTGCAACCTTCATCGCTGCTCTGTCCACCTTCCCTGTGTCTGATGGATAAATTTATTTTTAACTCATTAACATAACCACAAAATGCGAAAATTATTAATTTAATATTTCGTAAATTCATTCTACGAATAGCTAAACACAATTTTATATAACACGATACGAAACTGCAACTTTCATCGCGGCTCTGTCCACCTTCCCTGTGTCTGAAGGTAAAATGTCTTTTTAACTCGTTAACAAAACAACAATATGCAGAAATTATTAATTAAATATTTCGTAAATTCATTCTAAGAATAACTCAACACAATTTTTTATAATATGACACGAAACTGCCTCCTCCATTGCTGCTCTGTCCACCTTCCCTGTGTCTGATTGATAATTTTTTTTTAAATCATTAACAAAAGAACAATAAGCCGAAATTCGTAATTCGTTCATTCGTAAATTCATTCTAAGCATAACCTAAGATAATTTTTATAATACGTCACAAAGTTGCAACCTTCAACGCTTCTCTCTACTCCCTTCAGCCTAATAAAGTTTTCATGCTTCACTATCATAAAAACAATACCCGTATTTTTTTTTATTCAAAATGATACATCCAGATATTGAGATGTTGTTGTATAATTAAAATATTTGCATTGTATCGATTTTTAGTCTTAGTTGTATTAAATTTTTTATGTAGGGTTGTTACTGCCTTTGTTGAATATCATTTTTAGTCGCCATGGTAGCTATTCTTATATCAGTTTTAGTAAAGGTTAGTTTTTATCAGGATATTTTCAATTTAGTCACTTTCTGTTCCCTTTTGTCTTATCCCATCGTTATTGTTTTTCGATTTTAATATCGCTAATGTCGCCTGTGAAGCTTTTTAGCTTATATGGGCATTCACATGGAAGCATTTTGTATTTTTTCTCCAAATTTTTTATATTTTCTTGTTATGAATTTTTTTGTATGCCCCTGCGTGAATAAAGAATAAAGAATAAAGAAAGAAAGGTGCGTTATGGACCATTTCTGACATCTCTATCTTTTTAAATTACAATGAAAAATATAGGATTAAAGATGTCATGTAAAAGTGCATGTATACATGTGCATAAGTGTTATATATCGCCTACGTACTTCACATACCAAAATTTCACTGTCACAAATTATATATTTATAATTATTATTAATAATTATATGTCAAAATAAAAACCAGCAATGAACATGGCCAAATTAGAGAATTCATCCATATACAAAAAATGTAAAATCAGTAGTGCTCATAATAATAACTAAAACTTGATTTACATAATTTTAAACGAACAATTAAAAATAATAATTTAAAACTCATTCACGAAAATCATGAACCCATAATTTTCCTTCTCACCATCGTATACAAGTTCAGGTTTCTTAGGCTCAGGTCTCTGCATGTCTGGAGACAGTTCGCTGTTCTCCTTCCTCCACTTGTTAAGGCACTGAGGCTCGTGGATGTTAATGGATCTGCTCCCGAACTCCCGGCCGCAGATGTAACAGCTCACGGTGGGCTTAGCGCTGCCCAGGGTAGCGTGAGCTGGCAGGTCGTAGCCGCTGGTCGTCGAACTCGGACGAGCCTGAGTTATGAAGTTACAATTAGTTGTTAATGCTTTATGTGTTTTTTATAACTAATTTATTTGATTTATTAGTTAAAGATTAATTTACAGTGTATTAAGCAGGTCGTAGCCGCTTGTCGTCGAACTCGGACGAGCCTGAGTTATGAAGTAGTGTTTTTTATAACTAACTTATTTGATTTATTAGTTAAAGATTAATTTACAGTGTATTAAGCAGGTCGTAGCCGCTTGTCGTCGAACTCGGACGAGCCTGAGTCATAAAGTTACAATTAGTTGTTAATGCTTTATGTGTTTTTTTATAACTAACTTATTTGATTTATTAATTAATTATTAATTTATAGGGTATTAAATTGGTGCTAAATGTAATGAAAGATATACAATATAGTTAATTACTGAAGTTTTTCCTTTGGTAAGTAACATATATTAGTTTAAATTATTTTCAAATGTGTTGAATTAGTGCTCCATGAAAGAAATATTTTTTGAATTATAATAACAAATCGCCTGGTGAAGTTTTACAGAGTTACGACTTTCATAAATAGCACGTAAGTGCCCTATTATTATTAAAATATTATTAATTAAAGTTCAGTTGAAATAAAAATGTCCCGTATAATTATTTTCAATTGTTTACTAACACTGCATTCATTATTACTAATAAACTACTAATTTCTTTTTTTTTTTTGTTATTGATTCTCTTATTAATTATTATTAATTACAGCATATCATATGTAAAACAAAGCAATTTCAGTAGCAAACACAACTTTTTTGAGGCTTTTTAGTCTCGAGTTTTAACTCACTTTGGGCTCCTTGCCTGGGGGAGGCTTGCAAGCTTTTTGGTGTACAGAGAGACGCTCTGGGAAGAACGTCCGGCCGCACCAGCACGGCACTAGCTGCGCCTGAACAGCGAGAATAATGATTAACAATAATAATAATATCAATAATAATAATAAGATTAATAATAGTAATGATAATAATAATAATAATAATGATAATTATAATATTAATATTTCAGAACAATAATTTACATATGTTCAAAGAACCTAAATTACGTTAATATACTTTTACTAATAAACAAATATCGTCACTATTAATTATTGGGTAGATGTGTTCCGTGCTATAAATCGTATTTCTCATAAAAATTATAGGTGTGTTTACTATTATTATTATTATTATTATTATTATTTTTATTATTCTTATTATTACTATTATTAGTTCATATTTACTCATCCATTGCGTTTGAAGTGCCGCAGGACTCCTTACCTGCGACGCTGTCCAGGCGTGCATGTTGTACTCCTCAGGCGCCAGCCCCTCGTCCGGACGCTGGGGCGTCGCGCGCTGCAGCGCTGGAGGCAACGCAGCGTTCTCCCGCTCCCATTTCTTCGTCAGGCAATGCATCAGGCAATGCATCAGGCAATGCATCAGGTAATACATCAGCAATGCATCAGGCAATGCATTAGGCATTGCATCAGGCAATGCATCAGGCAATGCATTAGGCATTGCATCAGGCAAGGCATCAGGCAATGCATCAGGCAATGCATCAGGCAATGCATCAGGCAGTGCATCAGGCAATGCATCAGGCAGTGCATCAGGCAATGCATCAGGCAATGCATCAGGCAGTGCATCAGGCAGTGCATCAGGCAATGCATCAGGCAATGCATCATCAGTGAGTAAATCATGACAATGAGTGTTAGCAAGCCACTGAATGTGAGTAATGTTCCGTGATATGTAACGACCAGCAACGAAATGTGAGTGAATAATTACGCAGAATAACAACAAACCGATGAGAGTGAATAAAGCTACAAGTGTCTGTTCTCCACTCTTTTTCCAATCAAAGAAAAAATAGGGTATCTAAGCATTTAAACTTCACACGTTCAGTTATCGTGCCTTGAAACTGCCTTAATATTTAAAAATGTGATTTAATTTTTAATTAATTTATTATTATTATTTAATATTATGAAAACGTCTCTCAGGATTCAGTTAGAAATTTAGAAATAAAATCGGAAAATTTTTCAGGGCGAACGATTCAGTACGATTGTATCACATGGATAAAGGAACGATTTAGTACGATATTGCCTTATGGTTGCTATGAGCAAAATTGTCATTAGAAGAGAACCAAACAATCGACACAGCGCCCCAGGCAAGCAACACGCATGAAGCCGCTAGATAAGAATACACGAAACTATCGTACACAAGCCAGGAGGTCAAGCTCTGCTGAAATATGCTGTGTGGACGTGCTGTGTGAACGTGTTGTGTACACGTGTTGTGTGGACGTGTTGTGTGGACGTGTTGTGTGGACGTGTTGTGT